GTGTGTGAGTCGAAACCCTGAACCCCAACCCCCCCCCCCCGAGATTCCCAGAGCTAATACCCTAGCAGAAGGAAAAAGGTCCTCCCCTGCAAAGCCCGGAAACTCAAAGCGCCGAGGCCAAAACGCGGCGAGCAACGGCTTTCAGGCGGGCTTAGGGTGCAGGGTTTAGGGGTTTTGGGTTTAGGGTTTAGGGTGCCGAAAGCACCTGAGCTACAGGCGTTTCTCTCCGAACATAAGATTAGTCTGCGGGCCTACCTGGGCGGAAGGATGTTAACGTTTACATTGCAGAACGATAAGGCGCCTGCCCAGAAGCAATAGCCCACCGATAACATCAAGAGGAGCCAAACTCAAAACGATGCGCTTCCAGTACTAAAGTTGTACTACAACCCAGCACAATCCAGCCAGTAGCCAAAACGAGGCATTTCCAGTACTAAAGTTGTACCACAACCCAGCACAATCCAGCCAGGAGCCACAACGAGGCATTTCCAGTACTAAAATTGTATTACAACCCACCACCATCCAGCCAGGAGCCACAACGAGGCACTTCCAGTAGTAAAGTTGTACTACAACCCAGCACAATCCAGCCAGGAGCCACAACGAGGCACTTCCAGTACTAAAGTTGTACTACAACCCAGCACAATCCAGCCAGGAGCCAAAACGAGGCACTTCCAGTAGTAAAGTTGTACTACAACCCAGCACAATCCAGCCAAGAGCCAAAACGAGGCACTTCTAGTACTAAAGTTGAACTACAACCCAGCACAAGCCAGCCAGGAGCCAAAACGAGGCATTTCCAGTACTAAAGTTACACTATAACCCAGCACAATCCAGCCAGGAGCCAAAACGAGGCACTTCCAGTACTAAAGTTGTACTACAACCCAGCACAATCCAGCCAGGAGCCAGTTGTACTACAACCTAGCACAAGCCAGCCAGGAGCCAAAACGAGGCCCTTCCAGTACTAAAGTTGTACCAATCCAGCCAGGAGCCACAACGAGGCACTTCCAGTAGTAAAGTTGTACTACAACCCAGCACAGTCCGACCAGGAGCCACAACGAGGCATTTCCAGTACTAAAGTTGTACTACAACCCAGCACAACCCAGCCAGGAGCCAAAACGAGGCATTTCCAGTACTAAAGTTGTACTGATGGACGAAGTTTAGACAGTCGCTCATACGTCGAATGGAGCGTTTGTAGATAGATAGCTAGCTAGAAATCTTGCAGAACGATAAGGTGCCTGCCCAAAATCGATAACCCCATATAAAGGTTGGGAGGGTGGCCTCTTAGGTTTTGCCGCTGGCTCACCTGGCAGATTCACCAAGTCTTGGGGATCTAGAGAGCGATGTTCGGGGTTTGGGATTTGAGGGCTTAGGGTCTTGAGTGTTTAGGGATATTAGGGTTTGGGTATGCTTAGAGTCTAGACGTCTAGGGCTTAGATATGTTGTGGTGACACCCAAGCGATTGCACAAGTTTTGATGCACAAAGGTATGTTTTGTGTGTTTTTTGTTTTAGGTTTTTGATTATAGGAATTAGGGATGTTTAGGGTTTGCGGGTTTGGGGTGAAGGTGATTGAGGGTCAGGGGTTGGGGATTTCATGGAGGCTTTGTGCCCACCTGATGAGAGCGACACGGCCCGGATCGGAGCAGCATTTCTTTCAATCCTTTAATCTGTAATGTAGAAGCCTAAAAAATTACCAGCATTATTCCTTAGGGCTCCGAAAAATAGTTATTATAGTATTGAGGGGTCCAAAACCCTATTCTAATTATTAAGGCCCCTGTATTGGACCTGGCCGCCAGCATTGACACCTATTTAGTTCTGCGTGGCTTGTCGATTGATCCGGCATCTAGTGATCTCACCGCACTTGATGTTGGGGTTCAGGATACAGCACAAAAATCACCAGTAATAACTGCACTGAAGATGCCAAGTGTCAAATATGTGCGTGTAAGAACTGTAGGAGAAGAGTTCTCGAATGTTGAAGCACCTGCATGGCGGCAACCAGCGACTGCAGCGACGATGGCGGCGAGGACCCAGCGCCAGTGGAGGACATGGGGTGCCCATGCTTGTTCGTTTTGACCTCTTCACACTAACATGTCAACCGAAGGGTGCTATTCGTTGTTCTAGGTTAGTTTCGGCTCATAGGGTTGAAGGTCATGGGAGAGGGCTTGTGGTTGCTTCGCGAGACGGGGAGGCGTGCGGGTTCTGTGTTCGGGGCCTTTGTGAGAAGCATCATGTGGGGGTTTCCGAAAATAAGGGACCCTAATATAGTACCCTAAATAATAGGATCCTTATTATAAGGACCTCAAAATAAGGTACCCCAATTTTTGGAAACTCCCATGTGCGCAGCTACTTGAGGTTTACGCCCCCGTCTTTGTGAAACTCCTGTCTGACCGAAGCTCTTCGAACGGGGGCTTAGGGTTTAGGGTTTAGGGGTTTAGGGTTTAGGGTTTAGGCTGTGGAGTATGTGTTGCCATTACTGTTTCCTTTCTAGGGCTCACCGAGGTGCAGTTGACGGGCGACTTTTGTTTCTTTGCGGCATAGACCGATTGCGGCGAGTTTGCTGCAAACTCCCATTCTAGGGCTGGGGACAGCACCTGTGAGTTGGAATCACAGCTAGGGATTGTGTCGGGGGAATGCTTTCGAAGTTGTAAAGTTTTTTTGTGGTGCCAGTACTGTGAAGGATGTGGCTGGTGGGCTGCAGAAACATACATACTGTCGATGATATAGATCCTGCATAACTTAAGGACCCTAAACTATGGGAATTATGGTGTATTCCTTCTTGTGGGTAATGCAGGATTTGTATCATAAACCGCATCAATTTTTTCGTGTCCTGAAAGATCCCTTTGTTTAGGCTTCAGCAAGAGGTTTGCGTGTTTAGGCTTAGGGAATTCAAGCTTCATGTGCAAGACTTTAACGCAGAGATTGCTGGGCTGCCCGGCGAAACACCCAGACGCAGTTCCCACATAGGATCCCCATCATCGAAAGGTATGGATCCTTCCGTTCTGTTTGCAACCCTCAAGCAAAAACCCCTTCCGAAGCATACGCTGTTCAGACTCTGCAACAAGTTCATGCATGTGTGTGTGTCCCAAGAGCCAATCTGCCTCCGGGGATGGAGTCTCGGATGTAGATAGGGTGTAGGATCAGGCACCAGATCCTCTAAACCCTTAAGCCCACCCCTAAACCCGTAAACCCTAAATCCCTGAACCCCAAAGCCCCTAACCCCCTAAACCCCTAAACCCTAAACCCTAAACCCCAAAGCCCCTAAACCCTAAACCCCCAAAACCCTAAACCCCTGCACCTTCATGCGGAGGCCGCTCTAAATGAGCTCCTTCGGGACCCGAACGCGTCGCCAGGACCTCGGTCAAATCGTTTCCGGGCTCGTTCTCAGGGGCCTCATCGTTGCTCTTCTTTGAGGCTACTAGGGTTTAGGGTTACCCTTCTTTGAGGGTTTGGGGTTTAGGGGTGAGGGTTGCATGAGCGCTGGCCGGCACCTCAGTCCGTGCTGAAAAGGGTTGCCCTTCTTTGAGGTTAACGATTGCAAGAACTCCAGCTCAGATTTTGAGGCAGCCGAGTGGTAGTGGAATATAGTAGAGCTGCATCCACCTCGCGCGTGGTCCGAGCGTGAGCGCAGCCGCCCACTATTGATTGTGCTGACGGCCAGCACTTAAAGCCCCAAACTTATTGCGCAGGCGCATGCAACTGAAGACCCGCATGTTTAGTCTTCTTCTTCTTACATGCATTGGCGTACAGTGCCCTGCTATGTCACGCCTATGCGAAGACGTCTCGGCTTAGATCCGGCAATCCCATTTCTCGGCCCCAAAACACTTGAGAACCTCAAACGGCTGATCTCCTCAACATTATTTCCCAAAGCTGCGCAGCCCTATAAGCCCAAAGCTCCAAAAGCTCAGGCAAGGGGACTTCTACGACCTCGTCGCTCGCCTGCCGCCGCACGGCTTTGTGCATATTGGGGTCTGCACGACTTTTGTGAATATTGGGGTCAACGTTTCCTCTGTGCCAGACTACCTTCTAAACCATTCTATCCCGAAGTGGTTGATGCCTCGCAGCCGACTCTTTTTGCAGTCGAGATGTGTTTGCTTAGCACAACCCCCTTTGCAATACAAAGCCTCTCATACGGTTGATGAGAGAAATCCTGCATTACCCTTCATTAGGACTATACCATAACTCCCATAGTTTATAGTTGTTAAGGTCATGCAGGATTTTTTATCATCAACCGTAGATTAACCCTTAGTCTGCCCAGTCTTGCGACCGCACCGCTGAGGCTGCACTGCTGGGCCTGCGAGTGGATATCCCCGAAGCCGGGGGCAGCTTGGCAGTTAATGGGTTTGGGGTTGGGGTTTAGGGTTTAGGGTTCAGGGTTAGGGTTTAGGGTTTAGGGCCTTAGGGTCAGCTTCTTGAGGGTCCGGGCCTGGGGTTATTTTTTTGTTCTTTCTTTTAGGTTTGACGGTTTGGGAGCGACAGGTGCCCTGAGGCCCCAAACCTGCCATAAGTTCAAGTCTAAAGGATTCTTGAAAGGCCTGTGTAAGGATTAGGGAGACCCTTGGGGATAGAGACCCTCTCCATAAGGCCCCCTTTAAGAGAGCCATAAGTAGGCTTAAGAAGGGTCCCCTATGAGTTCCGTCCTGAGGAGATGCGATGGTGAAGCTTTCCGAAGCCTCGTATCTCTGGTTTTCGAACTCATCGAAGCCGTTGATCTCCTGGGTCGTATTCGGGAGACTCCTTAAAGGGGACCCTTCTTAACCCTCCTTATAGCTTGCTCAAACGGGACCTTATTGAGAGGGTCTACATCCCCAACAAGGGTCCCCCTAATCCGAACTGCATGAATCTAGGGGCCGTAATAATTAATAGAGTAGGGTCTGGGGTATATCATACTATAATCATGATAAGGATCCCACAAAATCCTATTCTAAGTATGGAGGCTCCTACATTCATCAACCCCCCAAAAGCGGAAAGCAAGGTCGGAAAATGGAAGACTCGAAGCTAGAAAGATTCAGACCATGAAACCACCAGGAATATTCCGCGTACTCAGCAAATACTTGTAGTAGATAAGAGAGAGTAATGGCAACATTGGTAACAATCACCATAGTAGTAGTCGTGATAAAAAATAAAGAACAGCAATAATAGTAATACTAAGAATAATCATCATCAGAAGAAGAAGAACAATGCCGCCCTTGGCAGGCCTGCGTACACTTAGACCCTCACCTCCGACTGAAGACTCTGAAGACGGTTTAGGGTTTAGAGTTTAGGGTTTAGGATTTAGGGTTTAGGGTTTAGGGTTTAGGGTTTAGGGTTTCAGGGTTTAGGGTTTAGGGTTTAGGGTTTTAGGGTTCCTGGTTCCAGCCCGCCCCGCACCGGAAACAACAACAGCACATCCTAAACTCTAAGGTTGAACCCATGGACGCCGAGTATGGGCCCTAAGGAGGTTCTAGGGACCGTTAAGGGAACACATAGGGTATATACTAGGTGTATGAGGACCCCAGCGTTAAGGGCCCATACTAGGGGCCCATGGGTTTAACCTCAGATACACCCTATATCCTAGGCCGTAAACCCCAAACCCTTAACGTGTGTTGCTACAGGCCCTGTTTGTATGGTCTAGTCGTCTTGTTTGCCGACTGCGCACATGTGGATCCTCGCCTGGCTTGTCCGAGTTGCGAGAGTGTAAACTAGGGTTTAGGGTTTAAACCCATAGAGAAGCAAAACAAACATATATCCCACATGCCTGAAGCCTTCTATCCTAAACGCAGGTTCTGCAGAGCTGCAGCTTGGTTCCGAAAATCGGCCGCTTCTTGAGCAAGGAGCTAGCTTAATGTAGGGTTAAGCTTCCAGGCTTCAGAGTTTAGGGTGTTCGACTTATTCGGTTCCTTTTGCGTTATACATAACATCCCCCAAAACGGGGCTTGGTTTTGGAGTCGGGCGCCTGCTGCTGTTGCTCTAAACCTTGAGGCCCTAACAGAACCATGTAAAGCCCTTACCCTAAGGGTCCATGTACCCAAATATTATATACTTTGGCCCCAATGTACCTGTATAGGGACTACTTTAAGGCCAATGTACATAATATTTGAGTACATGGACCCTTAGGGTTATAAGGGCTTAAACCATCTCATGACTTGAATCCGAGGACAACACACCTACAACCCAGGGAGGGTTTCAGCTGGCAGCGCCGATTGTGAGACTTGGTTTGTGTGCGCGTGCTGAGAACGGGTCGGACAACAGATGTTCCAAAGACCCTAAATAAGATAACCGGGTCAGCCTGCCTATTTCCAGTTAGCTATCTGATGCACCCGAAGCCCCCTCCCTTTGTTATCACATACTCCGGAAAACCAGAACGCGAAAGGATTGTGTTACTTGCTCTTGAGGCTCGACCCGTAAGTCCTAACATATCCTAGTCCTAACCCTTGCCCGAAACTCCTTACCCCTCGAAGCCACTATGATCCTAAACCCTATAAACCCTACACAAAAGCCAAGGCCTTCAAGGAACCCTACAAGATAGGGGCTTGAATAATTGCCAACACCATTTTGGGGCTCCTCATAATCATTCTTGTAGAATATACCCCCCCCCC